GCGCGCGGCGCGGGGAGCGGGGCTGCAGTTGGTGCTGATCAACACGCCCCCGGGTGAGCCGCGGGGCCGGGCCGGGCGGGCGCGGCATGGGCAGGGCGGGGAGCCCGAGCCGGGGGCTGAGGCCCGTTCTCTCCGCAGGAGACCAGGACAAGGGGGAAATGGGGCTGGGGGCCGTTCCTGGAAGACAGGCGGCCTTCCGAGAGGGGCTGGAGCAGGCTGTGCTGTACGCCAAGGCTCTGGGCTGTCCCAGGTATCCTACCCTGTCCTCCTCCCTCTCTGTGACCCGTGACTCTGCTGCAGGTTCGGGATGAGGGAGAAGACGCCAGGTTGGGAGACGCTCAGGAGTGTGCGCGCAAGCCCTTCGTCTCTTTAGTCCTGGTCTTTTGTAAAATGCCTTTTGTATTTTATCTGTCGCGTGTCATTCTCTTGGCTAGTCTTTCATGCTACTCCCCTACCGGGATCCCATGCTGGGAGCCCATTCTGACCTGGGAGATAGCAACATAAATATACTTAGTGATCCATTCAAGGATGGGCCTATTCAGGAAAGCTGTGGAAGCGGGGTAGGCACCTCACCCTGTCTGGGATCCAAGGAAGCTGCTTACAGGTAGTGGTGCCTGAACTGAGTCTTGAAGGAGTGGGCATTTTCTTTATGAGCAGGAGGTAAAGTGGCTAGAAGCAAGAGCAAGCTTGGTGTGTGCAGAAGAGTTCAAGAGGCTGGAGATGTAGCCTGTTGGGGTTGGGAGTCCTGGAATATCTGCTTGAAGTTGGATGTGGCTGAGAAAGATCAGGTGATGACAGGAGAGGTGGAAGGCTCAAAGTGGGGCTGATCAAATAAATATCAAATCCTGCAGAGGTCAAATAGGCTGATCTACTACTGGTGAGTCATGGGGCAGAAAACAGATAGGAAAAGGCTAAGACACGCAGCATGGAATACTTGAGAGAAGCAAGGATCAAAATAATTTTTAAAGGTGAGACTTAAGCATGCTTTATAGGCTCAGGAGAGGGACCAAGGGAAAGGGAGGTTGGAAGCACAGGGATGGGTTAAGTGATGGACTGAGGTCCCTGAGGCAGGGGGATGAGTTGACTCTAAGAAGGTGTCTCGGAAAGGGTTCAGCCTTCGGCTGACCCAAAAGTGTCTGAAGGTTCTGGAATGCCTGAATACTGTGGCCCAGGTGGCGTGGACTGGAGACCTGGGGAGGTGGGTGAGGGTGGCCTGGCCAGAGGGCATTCTGGAAGAGGTGTGTAGGGAGCCGAGGGCATAAAGCTGGCCTCCAGTCCTCTCTTCCCCACAGTATTCACCTGATGGCTGGCCGAGTACCCCAGGGGGCCGATCGAGCAGCAGTCAAGAGTGAGATGGAGACAGTTTTTCTGGAGAACCTGAGGCATGCAGCTGGGGTTTTGGCTCAGGTGAGAAGGTGGAGACACATACACACATACTTATGTGTGTGTGTGTGTGTGGGGGGGGTGCATCGTGGGGAGAGCAAACGAGATGTAAGGCTGGGCACTGGCCCAGGTCAGAGGGACTGGTGAGGGTCTGGTGCAGCGACTGATGGGGACAAACTTGAGGGGAGCTCTAATTACAGCATTCAACCTGGTGCTAGGAGAACCTCATGGGACTGCTGGAGCCCATTAACACCCGTATCACTGACCCCCAGTACTTCCTGGATACGCCACAGCAGGGTAGGACCCCAGCCCTGTGCCTTCTCCTGTCCCTCTTGATTCCTGCGCTCTCCTGGAGCTCACGGCCCCCTCCCTGGCTTCTCTCCCAGCGGCAGCCATCTTACGAAAGGTTGGAAGACCCAACCTCCTATTACAAATGGTAAGTGGAAGAAAGGGGGTACTTCTCAGAGGGCCACATTCTCCAAACTTGTGAAGAATGGCAGGGCCGGAAGGGTCTCTGACTTAAGTATCCTCTTCCCCAGGACATATTCCACTGGCAGATCATGGATGGGAACCTGACAGGAAATATCCGGGAGTTCCTGCCTATCGTTGGTGAGGGTCCCTTCCTTTGCTCCTTCCTGGTCTACTGCGCTGCTTCCTGTGCCCTCCCACCTTCTCAACCCCCATCTGTCCCATAGGCCTCAGCAGGCACCTGGGCCTCACAGCTGTCCACGTCTGTCCCCAGGGCATGTACAGGTGGCACAGGTCCCAGGCCGAGGGGAGCCCAGCAGTCCTGGAGAACTGAACTTCCCCTATCTGTTCCAACTGCTGGAGGATGAAGGCTACAAAGGCTTTGTGGGCTGCGAGTATCGGCCTCGAGGTGAGGGGTGGGCTGAGGCTCCAGGTGTGGCCCTGGGGAAAGCTCTGGAGGGACAGGTATTGGCAGGGGCTGTCTTCTTCCTCGTGGATAGAGATGCCACTGCCTCCTTCTCCCCACAGGAAACACAGTAGAGGGCTTGAGTTGGCTACGTTCATACTGGGATAAGCAGGGTCGCCCCCCAGCTGGCCAGTGAGGTCCTGCACACTACCCACATGCCCCTCTGGAACAGTGAGTGAGCATCCTGAGTTCATCCATCTCTGAATTAAAGATGACATGCTGAATGTTTTCATATATGTATGTTATGGGGGGCGGTGGGGGACGACACACAGTGTCTAACACTTCAGTTTCTCTGAGCTGCTTCCTTCCCATTAAGAAGGGACACAGCTTACACTCAAGTCCTCCAGCTGGTGCCAGGGTTGCTGTGGAGATGGGAGAGCTTTTGAGTCAACCTCACTTAATGAGAAACCAAGAATCTGAGAGCAAAGGGACTTGACAGTGGTCACAGGTTCTCCAAAGGCAGAGCTGATTGGAACTGAGGTGTCTTATCTCAATAGCAATGTCCAGCAGTGATGTCCCGGTGGGAAATGAAGACCAGAGGGCTCAAGGGGGCAGGTGGCTGACAGTGACCAAAGACTGGGAGGCAGGATTCAGGCAGAAGAGCTCTGTGGTGTGAGTGCTTGCCACCGGGGCTCCACCAGCTGGGCAGGAAAGAGGAGTCCCCTTCTGGAAGGGTCCAGGGGCCTGGGAAGGGATGGGCACCTCAGGGAGTTGGCCTGACCCTCTGGAGTCCAGGGCTGGTTAGCGGCTGAGTGTTTGGGGAGGGCAGTCCCTGTTGCCAGGCTAGGGCAGCAGACCCCCAAGACATTCACAAAGCCATTGGTGTCACTTAGTGTCCAGGCTTGCCCTGGGGCCCAGAAGGGCTTGTCAGCGCTGCCTCAAGTGGCAATCTCATGGATCCATGATTCAAGGAGCAGTGACATTCAGTCCACTCCCTCAGAGGAGGCGGGTCCAGAGGGTGAAACAGGCTGTGTTGATGACAGACTCCAGGTGGTGGTAGGTGGAGACCAGCTGGGCTGGGGGGCTCTCGCTGTCCTGGGGCTGTACTGGGAAGGGCTCTCGGAAAACCACTGTCAGAGACTGGGGAACACAATGGGGGTGCAGGGGTGAGGGGCGGGCACAGACTCAGGAAGAGCAGGCATCCCACCTCAGTAGGCTCCAAGGTACAGCATTTGAGGTACAGCCTCCCACTAGGCTGACACAAGGCCCCCGCCACCTGTTCTCACCGTCTTTCCCAAGTGGGAGTCCAGGAACACTAACACAAAACAGTCAGTGAACTTCTGATTCAGCACAACCTGCATGAAAGACAAGAGTGAAGTCCATCTCACCTGAGGTGGCGTGGACTGTCCTGGAGGGCATCCTGTGGAGACGGGAGGGTGAGGGAAGGCCTGGTTCCATCACCACACCTGACCCCACCTGCACGCCAAGGTCACTCAGGTCCATGTCTCCAACTCAAACCCCAGTCCTCATCCTCACTGGCTTGCCCGTCCATCCATCCAAGCCTCATCAGAATGAGGGCAAAGTCTTGGTTCTGGAAGCCCCGCACAAAGCCTGGCACACTGAAGCCAATCAACAAAGGAGAGTTCTCCACCCTTGGCACGACCCCTTCTTGCCCCCTGAGCTGGTCTCTCTGTCCTCCCCTGGGACTGTCCCCTTAAGTCCATGCTCCCTAGTGCTTAGCTTTGCGATTCATTCCTGGGCGATTTCAAGTTACCAAGGCATCAGTTACTTCCTATTCATGTAGCTGCTGCCTAGGTCTCTCTCAGGAGTGCCAGTCCCCAATGTCCACCTATCTTCTAGACAGTGAATATCCTCGTGGACCTCAGGCTCAACTTGCCCCTAGCTGAACTCATCACCCTTCCCCCAGCCCCACTCCTCTGCAGCATTCCTACCACTCACTGGAGCCCCCCATCTGCCCATACCCACTTATACTACTGCAGCCTTACCCCAGCTGACCTTGCTTTTCTGGGTGACCCTTTGTACACCCTGAAAGGAACCTTCCCTGCAAACACTGTGCTGCAGGCCCCCTCGCCAGGCTCCAACTCCTTTCTCATGAACGCCTACTCTCTGATGCACAGCTCTCTCTAGGCTCGTGTCTTTAGACTCTTTAATTCCTCATACTCATGCCCATCACATAGCTCTTTTCTCTCCACTTGTCCTTTACAAAAGAGCTTTCAAACTTTAAAGTGCACACTAATCACCAGGGGCTACTGCTAAAATGCAGATCCTGAGCTAGCAGTCTGCAGTGTGGCCTGAGAGTCTGCATTCCCTCAAGCTCCCAGGTGATGCTGATGCTGCTGGTCTGAGGGCCACACTCTGAGTAACAAGGCTTTAAAGACCAAGAGGTCCTTTCTGAGACTCCAGCCTCCGAGACCAACCACTGACAAAGTTCTGAGAGCTCCCTGGATTCTAAGTTCAGAGCTTGGCCTTCAGGATCTCAAGCCAAGGTCTGTGTTCTTGGTGAGACTCTGGGCAGTGTTCTCAGTTACCTCTCAGCAAAGCACATGCTGGGTCTCGATGCTCAGTGCTCAGAGGGTTTTACGTGGATCTGCATAGTCCCACTCCATCTAGGCTTCCCTCCAGGGAAGAGCTTGTTTGGTCAGGTTGGGGCTTCTTAAGTGGGTATCTTTTATCTCTGATGAGGATTTCTGTTGTGTTTCCCCTTTTAGAGGAAGGTCAAGGGGACTTACCAGGTACTGAGTTCCTAAGTCTGGGCTCTGGAAATGGCGACAGCTCTGGGGGAAGCGGCTTAGGAGAACCTTGATTAGGCTCTGGTACCAGGAGACCGTCATGGAAAGGAAGCAGTCCTGGGAGAGGGTCCACAGACCTGAATCTTCTGTCCCAAAGTCACCTTGAGACCCCTGACCCCTCCACCCTGGTTGCCTGTGGAATTCCTGGCATCTTTCCAGCACTTTCTGGAGCCTACAGTCCCTTACCAGCTGGGGGTCGATGTCCCCAATGGACTTGGCATGGACTGCTTCTAGGAGCTCCTCCAGTTCTGCCAGGGCCAGGCGCCCTCCTAGCCGCAGTCGATCAGGCCCTGGGGGCTCCAGCAAGAAGAGGCGCTTCCAGAGGGTGTCCCGGCGGCAATGACCCCCAGCCAATCGTACCAGCTGAGCCAGCCGTGCCCGTGCCATGCCCACCTCTGCAGCCAGAGGTGGGAACACAGGAGCTGGTCCAGGGGCTAGAACAAGCCCTGAGGCCTCCCTGGGGCTGCCAGCTGAGCTCCCAGGAGCCTCTGGCTCAGGGGACAGTCTAGGGGGTTTCCGGAACCGGCGCATGTCAGCAGTGAGTCTGGGGAAGAGCTCTCGTTGGCTGGTGAGCACCACGAAGAACTGCAGCCTGGGGTGGGGAAGGGGCAGGAGAGTGGTGGTCACAGCAAGAGAGACACAGAGCAAGAACAGGGGGCAGGCTGGGAAATGGGCATATTCAAGGTGGGGGATCTACGGACCGCAGAACATGTCGCTCGGCCTCTCCTTGCTCCTCAAAGGGTGCAGCACAGTGACAGACAAGCAGAGACACATCAAAGTCATCCTGGTGGCGAAGTCCCTCAGAGTCCAGGTAAGAGCCAGAGCTATGCAGTAGGGGTGGGGAGATGTCTAATGAAACCAACCCCACCCCTTCTGCCCAAGAAAACATGGATCTCCCTGCTGCAGGTATGGCCTCAAGCTTGGCTCCCCCAGTGTGCGTGCTGGGTGCCCCCTCCCAGCCTTACCTGTGCCATGCTGACACCAGGGCATATTCATTATGTTCCGGGCCCCCTGGCCGGGCCATACGCAGTGGCTTCATGTGGTAGGAGCTGGCATGGTCAGCCACATAGTTGTACAGCTGGTGGGCAGCAATGAGTGGTGTGGGGAGCTCCAGTGTCCCTGAGGGGCAAGTCATAGGAGACAGCAGACACTAAGCCCAGGACACACACTGGTTGGCAGGGGGATGGGAGATGCTAAGGCTTTGATTGACAGGCAGAGTGGCTGTGCTTTCCTGGGACCTCCTGAATTCCTGTGGAACACTGAGATGGGACGAAAGAAGCTCAGAACAGGGCAGGGTACACATGACACAGGGTCCGAACTCTGATGTGAAACTGACTGTGAACAATTTAAGACAGAGACAGACATAGGACTGAAACATGGGGACTTGGTATGAGTGATGCAAGGTGATTAACAACATGGGACCACTTGCCCTGGAAGGTGGTCCTGCCAGCCCTGGCCTGGAGACACTTTGTGACCTCCTCTTTTTTGGGCTCACTGACTTGCCCTTGGGCACAGACCTTGATAAATGTGATTACGGCCAAAGTGGGGTCCGTCAGGGTGGTGGGCCAGGAAGTGTCGCAGGAAGGTGGTGAGGTGATAGCCATGCCGCAGCACCAGATGGGTGCCCAGCACATGCTGGTGCACGAGGCGCAGGTGGAAATCATAGCTGAACGAGTGCACGTGCATCAGGTCCCGCACCTTGTCACACTCCTCTGTGAACAGCATGGACAGCTGGGGAGGTGGAGCAGGGCACTGGGTTAGCTGTGATAGCACAGGCTGCCCCATCCACAGTTCCCGCCTTCCATTGGAAGAGGAAGCTCAACAGACTCCCCCCATTGCTGTGGGCCCAGCAGAACCCCCTCTGCCAGAAAAGCTTCTATGGGGAAGCCCTCCTCATTATATTCTCACTTTTTTATAGGGTACTGTAACTCTGTTTACACAAAACTATGACTGTTTTTGAGAGACTGGGCCTCTTTTTTTTTTTGTCTTTTTCCGTATCCGGCAACGGATCGCAACCCTCAGTGTCGCCCCCGTACCGGACCGGGACCAGCAACGGGATCACAACCCTCGGCATTGCTCCCGCACCTCGCTCAGCCAGTGAGCGGGAACCAGTCTGTATGTGGGATCTGAACCCTCGGTGGGAGCGCCGCCGCGCTTCCCAAGCGGTGCACTATAGCAGTGCGCCACCGGGCCAGCCCGAGAGACTGGGCCTCTTTACCCTGTCCCAGATTCCACGAGTCTGGCACAGATTCACTGATGCAGCAAATATTTGTTGAGCATCTCCATGTACCCACCAGCTACTTTCTAGGTGCTGGGGATACAGTGGGAAACAAACAAACCCCTGTCTTCAAGGAGCTTACAGTCTAGTTGTGGGGAGATAACATTAAACATTAGACAGAAGAAATGAGTAAATTACATAGTACATTAGAAGATGGTGTTATGGGAAATCCAGTGGTGGTCATGGTAGGCCAGGTGTGT